GTTCGAGGAGCAGCATGGTAGCAGTGGCCACTTCGCTGTGGTTCGCCGCCTTGTTGCTGATGATACCAACATCGTCGTCGACCCGATCGTGCGAAAGCAACGCCGGAATCGTATGTGGCTCAGTGGTGGTATCGTCCTCACGATGATTCTCTTCGTGGCGACCAACAGTCTGCCTTTACTGCAAGCATCGATGTCGGCAGTTTTCGCTCTCATCCTCACTGGTTGTATTCCCCTCACTACCGCATTAGCTGCGGTTAACCTTCGTACTGTCCTCACCATCGTTGGAGCCTTCGGGCTCGGCAAGGCCATTTCCATCACTAACGTCGCTACTGTGCTAGCTCAGGGGTTGGTTACCTTAATGGACCCCCTGGGAAGCATCGGCATGCTATCGGCCATTTTCATCGCCACCTGCCTGCTAGGAGTAGTCTTCCATGCAACAGCCGTGGTCATCCTCCTATTCCCCGTCTGTGTGTCAGTGGCTAATGAGATGGCTCTCCCGGTCCATCAGTGCTTAGGGCCACTCATGGTCGGCGCTGGTTGCCAGTTTTTAACACCAATTTCTTATCAAACTAATTTGATGGTCTACGCAGCTGCTGGCTACGACTTTTCCGATTTCGCTCGTCTAGGTTTTGGGCTCACTATTGTCATTGGAGTGGTAGCAGTACCACTGTGTTTAACTTTCCTTTAATATCAATACTAATATCAATACGAAAATGACCTTCATGATTAATGATGATGTGATAATCCTATTACCAATATCGTTAGTGTAGCGTTGATACAGTAAAACAAGGCAATAACTCACCTCAAAAAACGACTCTAGGCTTGCAGACTAATAAAGGCGTTGCACGGTAGGAAGTAGAAGTATAGATTCTCATTAGTAGCACCGCTATTCAGCAGGTGGACACGACAAAGTGCAACGCTGGGGTATGTGTATACCATCGTATACGCGTTTTCATGACTCAAAACACAGACGTGGTGTACTGGTTTCAATGGGCACAGAGGCATGGATGCTCATCATCTACACCTCTTA